GTCTATTTCGAATGATCAAGCTCGTAATGGTAATTTTAAAAAACATGCTCCAAATGCCAAAACATACCAAAATAACACAATCTGAATTCCCAAAATTTTACCTTTGTGGCTTCACTAAAACAATAGAGTAGAAGGAAAATGAGAGAAGCATTTCGGGCATGTTTGGTAAAATGACCATGAAATGTTCACCGTTTTTGAGTAGACCAATGAAACTTATATTGAATAAGATTTAATTGTGCGAAATACGATCTTAAACCCATACTGGATGACTGAAATATAAAGATTTGTTGAGGTTACCTTTTTGGATCACCCTGTATATCAATAATTACACGTTTCACATATCTTCTGTGACAAGCAATTTGTTTTACAAAGACATTTGTGTTATTTCTTTCTTATTTACTATACAAGAGTAGATGAAAAATTTCTAACCGTTGGCTCTAGATTTTATAGTAAGAGGGGTTGGATCCTAAAACTTTAACACAAGACAGGGTAGTTAGTTTGCTTGAAACTCTATAGCTATGAGTTTCATATAAATTATAATTATATGAAACTGATAGAGTTTCAATCAAACTAACTACCCTGTCTCTTGTTAAAGTTTTAGCATCCAACTCCTCTTATTATAAAACCTAGAGCCAACGGTAAGAAACTTTTTGATCGATCCTTGTATGTATACTCAAAATATTTTTTTTAATCAGTAGAGACTTATGATTACTAGAGTATACAGGTGAGGTAACCTACATCTGATATGGATTGGACAATACAATTAAACCAAAAGTCATTTTTATAGCAATGATAGTTTGTGTGATATGTGTTTTGAACAAGGATTTTCACATGATGAGGATTTATGCCTGACATTATATACTTATTTAGTTTCGATTGCACTTATGAAGAGAGTGGTGAGTAGGTAAACTAAACTTATGATGAATACACTTTGGAGGAACTCTTCAAAATATTACGTAAACGGATCCGTTTACGTAACAGTTTGTCACAGCTACGATTTTACTTTTTCCATGAATTCTCAGAATGTAAGTAGAATGTCCACGACATTTTTGGCAAAACTGTGTGGCAGCAACATATGTTTCAGAAAATCGTAACGTTTGCGATCGAATAATCATTTCATCGATATACTTCTCCACTTAAGTTATGAAAACGGAGCGTTGAAAACGGTTAAATATCTGCACTTTTAACAGTTCCGTATTCATAATTATAGTGAGGAAAAATTTTGATCGTGTTGGCGCCTCGTGAACTATTCGTTCACAAATTATTAGATTTTCATAAACATATCTTTTTATTTATTTTTATTTATTTTTTTGTAAAATCTATTTATTTCTTAACATATGTACAACATGTATGCATAATATTACATAATTACAGTTACAATACAGAGTTAAAAACTATTTACATTTAATTAAAAATTTTCAATAAATGTACCACTCTCTTAAGAATTAGGTTTTCATAATATATCTCTTTTCCTGTTGGTTTTACACCTAGACGTTCCAAAATGTTACATTCATTTCCAATCCAAATAGGTTCAATTTTTTTACAACTTACAAAAAAATGGGCCATATTGTCATTTTCATCACAGAATTTACATTTGTCACTATCCATTATGTTATATCTTTTAAGTATGCCCCCATGAGGGTAGATTTTATGGAGTATCTTCCATTGTAATTCTAAGAGAACTGTTTCTCTAGTAGATTTATAAAGTGTTTCCCATACATCTTTGAGGATATGCTCACCATCATAATACAATTCAACCTTTCTGTCTTGTACCAATTTTTTTCTAAATGAATTTAGCAGTTATTTTATTAACTTCAATATTTCTGAAGTAAAGTTTGTCATTTACATGATCATCTTCACAATTATACCATCTAAAGATGTGTTCTGGTTTTAAAGCATTTTTTAATGCCTGATACTGTAAAAATACTTGGCCATTTCTACCTACTATGTTGGCAATATCATCATATGGTACCAATGCTTTGTTTCTAATGACATCCTTAATGTATATCAGTTTTTTCTCAATCCAATTAGAAAAATACAGAGTTTTATTAGCTCTTACAATATTGTCATTATTCCATAATATATACTCATCTTTATAATTACAATATTTTATCCACAATTTTAATATATCAGCATAAAATTCAGAGCAGTTCTCTAGACCACTTATTTTTTCAGCTGAAGTGTTACTTCTAAAAACAGAGAGGTTTACTCCCAGCTTATCATACATACTAAAGGGAATAGATTTCCAATGCCCTTTGGAGCTATCCTTAAGTTTTTTGACCCACTGTAATGCATATGCAATTTGCATGTCTTTAACATTGATCATTTGTAGACCACCTTCAGAATAGTCTTGTACAATAACATCTCTTTTAACTTTCTCAGGCACAGTCTTTAAGTCACATTCCTTAAATTTTCCCTTGGCCCAAATAAATTTGAAAACCATAATGATTGTATTTATTCTGTTTAAAATATTCTCTGGTAAAATAAAGCCTTGCATTATATAGGAAAATTGTGATATAATCAATGACTTTGCAAGAACAATTCTTCCAAAAATAGTAAGTATTCGGTTTGCCCAAGACTTCATAATACTTTGACATTTTAAAAACTTAGATTCAATATTTACACTGTTGTTTACCACTTTTACATCCGGACTGAATGTGATTCCTAATACTTTAATAGAGTTTTCAGGTTTGACTTTCCACTTGACTTTACCAAGAGTATCTTTCCTATTTTTCCAGGAACCAAGCCACATGGCTTCAGTTTTATTTACATTCATATTTAAGCTAGATATATTGGAAAATCTTTTAAAGACATCAATGGTATTATAAAATGATTGTGAGTCTTTTACAAACATTGTAGTATCGTCTGCAAATTGTACAATTTTTAAAATTTCTTCATTTGGTAGGGTTATACCTCTGATATCATTTTGCTGCCTTATTTTGCAGGATAACAGTTCACAAGCAATAATAAATGTAAGTGGAGAAAATGGGCATCCCTGACGAATGCCCCTTTCTAAATTAATATTGCCAATTATCCAACCATTATGATAAATGTGATTGTGACCATTTCTATTGAGTACATCTACCCATTTTATAAATGATGGCCCGAAACCAAATTTTTCAAGTGAGTATAACATAAATTCCTTAGATATCGAATCAAATGCTTTAGAGTAGTCAATTGCCATCATTATACCTTGAAGTTTATTAGTATCTAAATAAATTATAACATCATCAATTGTTCTTAAGATATTTGATGCACTTCGCTTTTTTATAAAACCAGATTGGTCATCATGAATAATTGAGGTGATAATCTGTTTTATTCTATTAGCCAATACCTTTGCAACGATTTTATAATCCACATTTGTGAGAGTTAAGGGTCTCCAGTTTTTCAGCTCATCCTTTGGCAGATACTTCTTTGGTATTAGTACCATTAATCCCCTTTTTTGAGAGCATGACAACTCTCCTTTAATAAAACCCTCATTAAATGAGTTCACAATCAAGTGACCTAATTTTGTAAAAAATACTTTATAAAAAGCAACAGTTATGCCATCTAATCCTGGGCTTGAGTCATTTCTCATGTTCCTTAAAGCTAAAATACATTCATTATAGGTTATTTCACCTTCACATGATAAACGTTCATCTTGGTTTAATGAAGGAATATGTACATTATTAAAAAAATCATCAGCAATTGCTGGTCGGAATAGAATCTTTTTAGAATATAACTCACCATAAAATCTATTTAATTCATTTATAATTTTAGTCTGGTCTCTTGTTACCTCACCATTATCAAGCTTTAAATGTGTAATAAGTTTCTGTTTCGCTTTAACATTTTCTAGTTGCAAAAAATACTTAGTGCTTTTTTCTCCCTCTTCACACCATTGAACTTTTGATCTTATCATAGCACCTCTTGCCTCATTACTTACAATGTCATCATATATTTTTTTGCACTCATTAACCTTCATGTTTAACTCATTACTGTCTGGCTTTTTACATAATTGTTTACAAGCTTTTTCTAAATTGGTTTTGGCTATTTTTATTTCCTGTCTTTTTGCTTTTGCAATTCTTTTACCATAATTCAAAGAAAAATCTCTAATCTCTGTTTTACAGTAATCCCATAACATTTGCTCATCTAAATTCCTATTTTTTAATTTTACATTTTCGACAATAGTATTTACTTGATTAACATATTCAGTATTTCTTAACAGACTATTATTAAGTTTCCAATAAGATGGTCCCTTTTCACTATCATCTAATGAAATATTTAGCATTATGCCTCTATGATCAGATGTTGGCATATCTACTATTTCTGAAGATACCAATTTATTAAAACCTGCATCATTTGTAAAAATGTAATCAATGCGCCTAGCAATGTTTTTTGATTTATGTTTCCATGTAAAATTCTTTTCTTCAAAATGATGTAGTCGCCATGTATCTATAATATCAGTCATGCATATAAATTTGTTAAATGCCTCAATTTCAAATGAACAATGTTTTTCACCTGAAGTTGTATCCATGTTTGGATTTACAACACAATTAAAATCTCCACACAAGAATAGGTTACTCTGAGAAGTGTCAATATCATTTAAGATTTTTTCCAATTTCTTATAAAATACCACCTTATCTCTAGAATTATTTGGTGCATATACATTGCAATACACAAATATTTCATTTTCATATTCAAATTCAATAACAATTATTCTGCTTTCCTTATGTAACACTTTCACATTTTTACAATCCAAATGTTTATTTATTAATATGACTTCACCCTTGCTATGTAAGCTACCAGGGCAATATATAATTCTACCTCCCCACTCTTTTTCCCATGTTTGTTTAATGTTATCAGTTATGTATGTCTCCTGGAGACAAGCAACATCACATTTGATTTCATTTTTCAGAAATCTGAAAAATCTATGCCGGGTAATCCTATTTCGCAGTCCTCTAACATTTCCAGAATAGACGTTAATCATTAAGATCTAGGATTATAAGGGGTGTTATAATAATCTAACCATTGTCATCTGGTGCTGTGTTTTCATGTGTATCATGTACATATTCATTCAAGCTCTCCATCATGATTGGAGAACCAAGTTTATGTTTCTTATCATTATTTTCATTGGTCAAAGGGCTACGTTCCTTCCTTTTCAGTTTGATATCTGGCATATTTGACTTTACATGGTCACTTGTAAAGATTTGGTTCTTATGGCCCTCCCCCATTCCTTGACTGCTATTGGGACTGATGGGCATATAACAGGTAGATTTATGTACATTATCTTGACTAGAGCTGATATTATGCACTCTATGTATGTCATCGCTGGTGGTATGCATATGATGCTGACACATGTTTGTACCAAAACGGTCGTGAAGATTTTGCCTACAACTCGTGAAATCTTAAAAAAGATAGATCGTACCTTCGAGGTTGCGCCATTTTGTTACGAAAACGGATCCGTTCTCGTATAACTGGCTTTACGAGTTCCTCCATTTAGTTTCGAGGACAGCCTGTCTTTGGAAATGTATTGTAACGTTCTGCTATTCTCCCGGGGCACTGCGAAATGAAAATGTGCAAGAACGGAAGTTCTGTCTAGTTAAAGACACCGTCATTTAAAAATGATTTAAATGAGGGGTAAATCCATGAAATATGTTACAGTATAATAAATTTAACTTTATTAACTAAAAAACGAAACGGTCGCTGTTTTAATCATGACGATCTTGAATATGAATACAAATGAAACTTTGTCATGATATATTATCTAGTCCTTGTCACTTTGCCATAATGTTATACCCACAATGAATTGAAAAGAGTAGACAGATGTCCAAACTTATGTTCACATACAGACTAGTCCCAAAGATGAGTGATTTATAGAGAGCGGTTTCAGGACGTTTTCAATGCGGTTTGGCGGTACCAATGCGTTACCAATGCGTTCCGACCGGTGAAAACCCGGTGAAAGGAAGGTATAAACACGTTGAAAACACGGTGACAATGGTAAGCCACTACTCTTTAAACACGTTAGCCCGGTTCTAGGTCGGTATAAAGCCGGTGCAGACCCGGTATAGCACGGTATAAACCCGGTCATAAATTCAAAAAGAAATGCGACCGTCGCTGAATCGTCACCGTCTTGCCATAATTAGCCACACGGTGGCGAACGGTGAGCCTACACGGCAAGTGTGACCACAGCATTACATAAAGTTTAATTTCACCCGAACAAATAGACATAATCAGATGCATAAAACTTAGTAAATACAAGGGGCGATCCATATATTCTGATAAAAATGCTCTCATTTTGTAATTTTTTCACATATCCCTCTCATTTTTTCAGAACATATAGATTATGTAATTACACATACAGTGCTAAAGCTATATCTTAAATTAATTTTGAGATAAGGTTGCCATGCCATTCATTGACCTGTAGTTGAACAGAGTCGTTTTATAATTTACATATACATTAATGAGTCAAAACTATTTAGAGAAAGTGTTTTTTGGTCACCTTTGTATATCTGGTTACCAATGTGTACGCTCGCATTAAACGAGCTCTTTTTATACTCATTTGAAGAACAATTTCACCTATTTTGATCATGTCATTTTTAGTCATATGTTCGTGATAGCCGAATACAACGCTCTTTAAATCACATGGGTTACCGTATTTACTTAATATAGAAGTCAGTCTGGCATGCTCATCAAAGTAAGCCTCACAGGAGCTAAGGAAATGTTCAATCGTTTCTACCTCAAACATATTACACAAAACGCAAATACAACTGAGCCCAGAGTTTTTTACGCGCAGCTCATGGCAGTCTTTAGAGAGAGGCGCATCATTATTTTACATACTGAAATATTTTCTGGTTTCATTTTTGCTACTAACCACCATATCGTAAATGGTTTAAGTAGTTCACTAGTCTTATACTATTTTTTTTACATCCGAAATCTTTACACCTATGTCGTGGCGCTTGTACATTGCGCAAATCGTGTTGTAGTCGTTTCTCTGTTTGGTGCCTATAATATTCTTAACCAATTTTTTTTCATGTATATTTAGATGGAAAATTCGCGTTAGTGATCATATTGATCACAAAGTCTACTAGATTGTGGCGTTTTATACAATCCCACATTCTGTATATTGAGGAATCCCATTCTTTTCATTGTATAAATATGCTCATAAATTGGCAAGTAGTTGCCAATTGGCCCATGGCCCATTCTGTTAAATATTGCTGTAATACCATGGCAACCTTATCTCTAAATTAATTTAAGATACAGCTATAATATTTTAGCATAGTATGTGTTATTACATAATCTATATGTCCTGAAAATATGAGAGGAATATGTGAAAAATCTCAAAATGAGAGGATTTTTATCAGAAAATATGAATCGCCCCTTGTATATCTTGTACTTTAATTTAATAGATCAAACAAGATAGAAAGTATAATGTTTGGTTTGCAATAAGTTGCATAATTAGTCAAAAAAGCATTTAAATAGCTCTTTGAATTTCAATTTAATATGAATGATACTATGGTACAGATTTTTATAATTAATTCCAAATCGCTCTCACAGATTTCAGAGTTTAAATATCAGTTGTATACAGATCAAATCACGAAATGTAGAACCGTACATGTATCTTATAAAAACTAAAGGCTATTCGATATATATTTTCGACCCCAGTTAAAGCCTACGATAATGGCCAAGCGGCCAATTTACAAATGCTCAACAGGTCAAAACATGTGTAGAAATACGTACTAAGCATTCCACATATCAAAACGAGTGGTAACCTAACCGGAGCCCATTTTAAAATTCATAAAATTTATAATACATGAGTTATTCATGTTCTTGAAGGAATTTTAAGTCATTTGACCGTTCAATTTGTGATGTGATCTATCTCTTTAATTAACATTTTGAACTTCTAAGATTTCATCCTAGTGAAATATAAATATTTGTTGATCTAATCTTGTCTTATTAATATCCGTTAATATGACACCATCTCTTGGTTATTTCATCGTCTTCTACACAATGCCTTAAATCACTGATGAAATTAAAGTAACAGTGGATGTAATGCCCGGTGTAGAATCATATTTCGATTGCTTTGGTTTAAATCTTTGGAATACGACAAAATAAAATGATGAAAATTACCGTACGTTTCGGGTTCAACGTCAACGTTCTCCCGAATACTCATCAGGTAATCATATACCATTATGTACATCTCGTGACTCGTGACTAGATGTTTCTTCTATGAAAGATGGCAAAATAATGCCAAGAGCCTGTTCTCCATGGGTGCTTGGGGGATGACCAATAATTTAGTGAAAGATTCAAAGCTTTTTTACACTCAAAGATTCTGTAACAATTTTTGATAACTGCAACATTGAACAATGCTACAATACATTTACAATTCAACATGATGTAATACAATACAATAATATTTTGTTTTGACTGCAACATTGAACAATGCTACAATACATTTACAATTCAACATGATGCAATACAATACAATAATATTTTGTTTTGACTGCAACATTGAACAATGCTACAATACATTTACAATTCAACGTACTGTAATATTATAATATTTTGTTTTGACTATTTCAATCAATCTAGGAATCAATTCATTCAGTGGTGGTAGTTATTTTTTAACTTATGTTAACATCAACTGTATGTGTCTTATCAGAGGATTTTGTTATATGCAATTTGTCATTGCCAGATAAGATTATCTGAAATATATTATAAAATATTTTATTATGAGGCTTATTTAATACTTAGATTACTGTACAAAATTATGCACTGATGTATCCATTACATCCAGAAGTACACGTTTGAATGGTTTGAAGTAGTAAGTTGGAATAAACATTTTTTAAAAAGCTTGTTAAATCATTTTATTATGCACCTCATTAAAATACTCAAATCTGATTGGTTAAGACCTGCAGGGTCTATTGCCATACGTGGCAGCAAGATCTCGTTCTATCCAGTATTGCAGCAATTAAATCTCCAACCATCCCGTATGCCAGAATACCTATCCTCGAAAAAAATACCAGGCTCGGCTTCTGTTTTAGTAGACCCATTCTTTAAAATAAAGTATTTCTTGACAATTTGAAGGGAGGTGCATAATAAAATAAATACTGGATGACCATGAGGTGGATATGCCAGAATACCTATCCTCGAAAAAGTACTATTCCTCGGATAGGTATTCTGGCATATCCACCTCATGGTCATCCAGTATTTGTTTAGTATTTTTAATTTTGAAGTGTGCTATTTCAACAAGACGTGAAACCTCTGCAAAGTGTCATACATGTACATCTTTGTTTGATACAACTTTAGAATTGTCTTTTTCCTTTCAAGATTATGCTTTTAGTTATTCATACTTTATGTCAATTAGTTAGTAAGACCTTTGGGCGTTGAAGTCAATGTTGGTAGCTATAAAATTATTGGTCCGATAATATGTGGCAGATATTTGAAGACTCCATTCCATGCTATATAAGTCACATACTCTCTAATAGTCATCTCAGATACATCCAAATCTTCCTTATATAACAGAACTTCTTAGTGTAGCCATAATTTCCTAACATCACCTTGGATATGTCCTACAATTTTAGCTGTGAATTCAAGTTTGTCAAATTCTTCGGGTCCTTGCCAGCAATGTATATGAGGGGCCTTCATCACAGAAGTGACATTATCACTACTGGCCAAGTCCATATATCCAACTGCTTTGTGGTCTTCAGTGAGATTAGGGATAATGTGATTGATGGCTAGTTCGCTCCCATACATCGTTGAGACCTGGCGCCACCAGTAAGGCCATTCACCATCTTCACTAACGTTAAACAAGCCTCCAAGGCCTGGTAAGGATTTGTTGAATTCATTATTATAAAAATGAACTGTAATGTTCAATGCAAGTCTCGAAACTTTTTTGAATATTCCAGGCTTCGCATACCAAGTGCTTCCAAGATTAGAGATATTCTGATGATGCAAACCAAGTTTTGCCGAAATTGCCCGTAATCTACCTTCACTAAATGGTACTCCGTAACCACCGATTCCAGTGATCAAGGGATATTTACTCAGCCAACCAAGTATCGCTGGAGATATAAACACATCAGTATCCGTCCTCATTATCCAATCGTATCTGTTAGCGATCTGACCAAAGTTAGCATCAATTAGAAAAGTAAATGTATTAATGTAGCAATAATCAGGGGGATAGCCTTCATGATTCTGAACCCGGTCTGAAGGAATGTACCAGCAATTGGGAACATTCTCTAAATATTTGTCCATTATCACCGGGAGGCAATCCAACGGGAGAAATTTACATATTTCTGGATGGCAATACACTAACAAGTCAAAAATCATATCCGGCACATGTTCAGCATTGTCGATGGCAATATTTTGTTTTAGATATTTGTGCATCATCACATATTTCCAGGATGCATATAGAAATACTGTGAATTGTATTATATGCTGATCTCCACTATCTACATACATAAGTAAAGCATTATGCAGTGATGGTTTGTCTTTCCCGCTTATATTTCTTGATGGAACTTTTTCTGTAATTGGATTATTACTTTTACGCAATGTCTCCACTATTTTCAAATGTTCAACATGAGTATCACCTGACGTTAAGTTAGACTCCAGAGTTTTTTCACAATTCAGTCCCACTTTGCGTTTCCAATTAATTGGAGCTAATGAAATCCAAAGCGATGATGACAAGATGAATCCGAGTAATATATAACCACAATTCATTCCATTAAATATTTTGACAGGCATTTTTTCTCAATATCCTTGAACAATGCAGTAAAAATTAGAAATTGTCAAAACATTACCAACGCTATAAGTAAGTCCCGTCCAAAGTACCATTATTAATAACCAGGTAAATACAGGACAGGTAATAAAGATTACGTAATTAGTTTCATATTAGTTATAAACAGAATTGATAATTTTACTTTTAATTTTACTTTTACCGATAAGACAGTATAAGAACTTAAAAGATTGTTCAAAATGAAAGACACTGATATTGAAAATTCATAGTGTAATGTACATGTATTTTATCATAATAGTCTCGACTCATGATGATCCAAATCTTACCCTACTATCACACCAAACTAGTTCTCACTACGTTCTCGAAAACGGGCTTAAACTGTGCACGACCGGATTTGACGTACTAAGAACCCACTAAGAACCGTATGGGATCTGTTTACAAACTTCATGAAACTACTCGAACGAGTAGGTCCTCCAGAACTTAGAGCATGCTCAAAATTTTCTAGTGATAGTCACGTTCTGCAATCAGAACGAGTGACATCGTACTTAAGACGACCTGGACGCACTGGGGACACACTACGAACGGAAGTGTCGTACTTCAATCCTGCTAGGGACGTATTACCACGTTGTGTAGTCAGGCGTAAATTGCAGCCGTGAGTACCCCAATCAGGAAAATTGCACGGATTAGGGACACGATTTTACTATTTTAGAACGAGTTCAACCGTATCGAAATTTGATGGATAATTCAGTACCATATTAGAACGTATTGAGAACGAGGTACAAGTAATTGTCAACTGGTTTAAACTGATTAAGGACGTAATTGAACTGCTTGTGAAGACGAGACGAACGCACAATTTAACCCGATCTAAACTTGATACCAACGTACTGCAGATGGAATAAAGACGAGATGAACGTATTAAAAACTGCTTATGAACGAATTAACAAAAATAGCTATCACACCAGAACCAGTTGTCACTGCGTTCTTCAAAACGTTGCCGAATCGGTTTTAAACTGTGTGCGAACTGAATGAACGTAGCTACAACGTTCTACGGTCTGTTTACGAACTTCATGGACTTTTCCGGACGGGGAATGTGATTTAGAATTTTGAATCGATTCAAAATTCGATGGCGACCATACCGTTCTGTAATCAGGTCATGATGACCTTCTGGACAAAGGGACGCGTTATACGACGTTGCACACCGACGTGGTGCGACCTGAACGAACTGCGAATGAGATGGACGTATTGAAGACTGTTTATGAACGAAGAAGCTAATTATTTTAGACATATTTCCCGACCACAGCCAGATTGAGCCCGTTTTATGACGTTTTCGTAGGACTGGCAAGAACGGGTAAGAACTTGTTTGGTGTGATAGGGGGGTTAGCATGATTGATGTAGAGAACATAGTTTGTGAACTTATGTTTGGTAGTTACTATTATCAACCCCGTTCGCATGATTTATGACGGCAATTCGTGATTTAAAAGAAAGACTAATTTAATCAATTTTATTTTCTAAGGCTCTAAAGGTCAAAGTCATTGTTTAATCATCTAAATATTGATTAATCATATTAAAATAATCTATCATTAATTCTTAAGTTGTATTTGAAATGTTCTGAAAAAGCTGACATTTGAATAAACGTTATTAGTATAATATTTATCGAATATTTGAACAAATCATTGGATAGGATCGAGTAAAAGTTACATTGAATTTTTAAAATTGTGATGTCATCAGGTTATTTTCAAAATTCTTTTTTCTGTAAATCTTATCTAAATATGCTAAACTTGCATAAAACAATAATAAAGGGCTGGATTACTTGAAATGAAGTATTATATTTATTATGTTTAATAAGACATTTCAGCAACATTGGTTTAAATGAGAATTGACATTTTTTATTGTTCGATATTGTCGTCAGCTTGGGGGATGGATGGAATGGGCGGGTCATTTTGGGAAAATGTCAAGGCGGCCATATAGGATTTCCGTCCTAAAATCTTGTAAGATATACATTGTCACTGCGATTAAAGGAATGCCACTTTACGGCTGGCTTTACACCTGTTTTTTATGGTAAGAAGTTCTAGAGCTTTTACTCTTCGGTGGCGATCTTGTTTTTGGTTCAACAAGCCCACATAGATATTTAGGTAATTCCTAGGCATTGTTACCAAATGCTACGCAGCTATTTTTTGCGAGGCACTATACTGAAGATCCTTTTTAAAGATACGTAACAAAGTTTATAAAATTATGGATATATTTCAAATTTCTTGTGAAAAGTCAAGAATTGAGCAGGCTTTCATTTTGAATACATGAAAGCCTGTAATACCACTGGTCAGGTAACGGCCGTAACCTTCGTATCAAAGATGGCGGACTGTAATTGTCGATTTCAATATCTTAGGTTGACGTTATGCCTTGATATTTGAACCAAATTAGGCTTATCTCGTCCATGGGAACTATGGAATATGATAATTTGTTCATATATCGTGGGTGGGCACCACAGTTTAACATTATCTTCCACCGTGGGAAGATAACTGGGATTCTGGTTTTAAGAGATTGTTAAATCCCCGTAACCTTCCCTTAACGGTGAAAGATATCGACTATAAAATTGTTTAATTCGATGAAAGCTAAAAATCGACACTAACTGTCCGCCATCTTAGATTCGAAGGTTACGTGAATATTACATGTTAACTATGTTTCGAGTAATATATTACCTTTATTAGCTTTATGAGATGAACGATCTTCATTTAGTTCTTTTGTTAAAACGATCTGATTGGCGGAGGCTTAATTTTACATTCTATTTTTCAAAATATGATTCAAGCTTTAAAATGTTATTCCCATAATCCATTATTCCAGGTTACCTGCGTCACCAAAAAGTTCGAAATCGTCTTTTCTCATCATCCGCCATTTTGCAAAAAGGCGACGGTCTTCAATGTCTGATACTGAGTTTAAGTTTGTTTTTGAACTCACATATTCCCCATGTCAACGTCATCCTTAGGAGGTAATAGTTCTTTCTTCAATCTAAGTTTCAGACTGTCACTCAGATTGTACTTCTTGCTTTTTCTTCCATCCTCCTTGTTTTCCTTGTTATTCTTATTTTGAAAGTTATCATCAGTACGGTCTGCACTGCCCATAGAAATCTGTAAACGTTGTATAGCATTACAATCAATTAATGATTAGATCCTGTAAGTGCATAATTGAATAATTTTAATAAACATTCGGTACATGAAAATAATACAGATAAAATTATCTTGTTTTAAATGAATTTTAAGACAAACTTTTGATGAAAACAAATATTTTGAAAAAAGCTTATATAAAAATGCAAATAGACTAACTGATAAGTGACGTAATAGTTGGCGACGTGTAACCTGCTCCATGTTGTTGGCATCTTGTTCCCCAGAGTACCTAACAGGAACATGCATTATATATGGTCAACAGAGATGCTTCACAAATATAAACTCTACGGTACGTAATCAATTACCCAAATTTCAACTCTGGTTGAGGGTGACCGTCGGCTAAACTGAATGTCATGCAATATTTGCTTTCCTAGTATATGTTTTACGTTTCATGAAAATAAAATTGACATTTTAAATATATGATTTACTCTCGTAAGCAACATGCATATCCATGACAAGGTAAGAAAAGACATATGATATACTTACGTTTCTAGTCTGGATCCAGGGTCTCCAATTGGTTTTGATGATCCTTTTCTAACAGCGCATACAATAAGAATGACGATTAATATCAGCACTATGCCACCTAATATTCCAACAACAACAGCGACTGAGGCGCATCCATCTCCCAGTTTGATGAAACCATTATTGCAACTGAAACAATTAAGGGCCAATCATTTGGTTGGCTCACTGAACATTCTATCCTCATCAGCACCTTTTGGTAGCAATATTTTCTTCTTACACATATTACGTGCATCTTCGTCATCTTATGGTTGGAATTTCACCATTCCATTCATATATCGTTGCTCATGAGTAAAATGAAAACGAAAACTTGTTAATGTGTATTTCCCGAAACTAAATTCATTACCATTTACCAAAACCTTTGTGTATATTTTGCTAAAAAAAGAGTTTCGTGGATCTTTTACTTGACTTTGAGTGATCATTTTTGCATAGTTTCATGAATTAAACAAAGTGTAGTTGAGAGAGAATTTTTCTGAAATGCCCAATACTCCAGATATGAGCAACGGTGTATGACAATTGTTCAGAAAACGTCAAATCATATTACCAAATTATAAAGTTCCCAGTTTCATACGAACTGAAGACTTAGGGGCGGCTCAAATCGAACAATGAATAAAATCAACGATTTCAAAAGCTATGGTATAAACACCATGTTGATTCGAAAATGTGAAGTAAAACCATACGTGCAAACAGTAGTCAGGGAGGTATTATATCCCCCGCTCAAAGAACACGTTCCGCCATAGCACCTGTCATGATCTTCATGACTCCATGTGCCAAAAGGGATACGTTGACACATACTGTAACATCCATATTCACCATTGTAGTAATAACATCTGTGTCCATATTCACATCGGAGGATGTTGCCTGTACACGCACTGGCTACAATAATTGATTGTCTTTAAACAATAGCATTGATAAACTTGAACTATATATTTCTAAATTCTTAATCTCATGTCAAATGGACAGATTCTATCGCAAACGTAATACTATACTAGTAGGCCTGTATTTTATGTTCATGTGATGATCATATTTTGTATATTTTACGTGTATTATCACTGTACAATTTCATTGCATATTTGCGACACAAGAATTCAAGGGAGAGAGATGGAATTCAAATTCAAGATAATGCAAGTCAAGAGTATTCAAGTTACCCTTATGAATCTGTCCATATGTAACATCTCGAAGATAGGCTCTGTCAACCGTAAGATTTTTCATTGTCCCATTAGTGCCGAGCGCATATGTTGTTATGTTTTTGCTTGCCATTGATTGAATGGTATTATTAACATGCGCTCTGATCGATTCAGTTCCATACTTTGGCATACCGAGATAATATTGTACGTCATATCCCAGTTCAAATTCAGCTACTATGCTCCCTTTCCTAATTGCAGATATTGTATGGTTTTTATAGCAATTGCTTACAGTTCATATCCTAGTAAAAAGTAATGGTATAACGTCTCTTAAAGACTAACTTTTAACCAATACTGTATTGTAAAATTGTAAAATGTATGTTTACTGTATGTAACTGTACTGTAATTTTTTTGCAATTGCTTTAACATGCTTATTCTTTGAAATAAGAAAAATTAGAAAAAAGAAGTAAATCTCGTGTTGTTGGATTACAAAAGCTCCGATAATGCTATCAGATCTAGAAATGTCTATTTAAGGCATTGATGCACTCACGTGAATCTTGTAATGTTACAACTAAGTAGTGGAAAATTTGCAAAATCCAAACCGCCATTATGCTAAAAATTGAAGTACGGTCAAGCCAAGTAACTCAGTCAACATTCGATATTCGTATGTTCATCAATATTAACTAAGAATGGTGACACAATCAAATAGTAAAGCTCTGTTAAATTATTTTCCATAAACCTTTCAGCAAACGTGTAAATGATTATTTTGATGTTCTGTTACATATTGGTGAAGCAATCTTGGGGATATGGCCTAAATTTATGAATTTCCACTATGTCCCTGTATACCCCTACTTCAAAAGATGTATGTTAATTGTCATTTTTCATTATGAATCAATTATAAATGTATTTTTTCTTGTTTACATACAGAATGAACTTTCTGTTTTCAAACATTGAAAGATGGTACTGCATTTATTTTTTCATGATATGGAGCAAACAAATGCGTGTCAATTTATACTGTAATATCCCACTTATATTTCAAGGGTAGTTTTGAAGAATAATCAAGAAATTCCATGTTATCAAATGAATTCATCCTTGTCAAAGAACGTTAATGAGGATATGCGGTTTGAAAAACTAACAGCATGTTTTAAGTTCTTACAATTCTTGGTTGAAACAAATATTTCGAAAGTTGTGATTTCGAATGTAATATCCAACTCTATGAAATTTGTTGATATTTGTGAATTTTTTCTGTCGGAATGCACATTGCTGGATCACAGAACCTTGCCTTGTTCGTGATGCACGAAAAGTGCATTGTTAATACTTGACGTCGTTTGGATATTTGGATGTGATTGACGTTTTCGTTAATCTCCAATCACTGTCACTTCCAACATAATTTTTGAAAGCCAAATATGATAGCCACGAATTGATATTTAAGTCACACGTTGATGCATACATCATGTGTGTACATTAACGGTCGAATACATGCCGACTTATATTTTATATAAATATCCACAGTTAACTCAAATCATCAATTCTCAAAAAGGTTTATCATATAACCTGGTGACTTTAATGTTTCATTTTAATTTATAATTATGGTATCGGATTTAAGTATGATATTAGTCGAGGCTTAAACAAAGCAATAAAACCTTTTGTGAAACCTTTTGTGAAAATCCGAACGATTTTTCAAGAATCCTCTTTCAAAGTGTTACCACAGTGCTCTCCGGGAGTGGGAATTTCGTCTTGTGTAATCAAAATAATGTTTTATGACATCACACTGATTTTTGTCTCTGCAACTTTTTTTGGTAGAAAATATCCTTTTTAGTTCAAAAATGCATAAAAACGTCGGCTGGCTGAATATGTGAAAAATTTATCCATTTAGGCTAGAAAGGGTTAATTTGCCCTACCCCAAATACGTCTAAATATGCTAGTCTAACTTTGCCACTGTGACGTCACAAATCTAACCTGACTATCTCTGAGTTTATTGAAGAAAATGATACGTTTGACAAACAGCTTTCATTCCCTATATGGCACACCTTCTACTAAAAGTTGCATCATTGACTAAATCTAAGACAAAGGCCTTGTGTCCCGAGGATTTTGACTGAAATTTGGCCATTTTCACCCAAATCTGACTAAATTGCAGTTTCCCTCACACCTGTATTTTGAAATAAATATTGCTACAATGTAGCAATTTAAAAATCACACATGCTTACTGTTTATGTCGACCTGACACGTGTAACTAGCCTGTAAAATTGAAAAATCGCTACATTGTAGCAATTTCACTGAGATATGGGCCCTGAAGATCATGTAATTTTAGCAAAAAATTAAGAAATAACCTGCAATTTTGACGGAATTTCAGAGGGCTTTCTTTCATTCATGACCCTCCAAGGGCCTGTTACGACCATTCTTATACTCACAGAAGGGGTGAAAGTTATTTCAAATCATTGTTTGCCCTAGGCAGTACGAAAAAATCGATTCTGTTCTCAAATTCTGCTAGAATATTGGTCTCTGGCCAACTAGCAGACAATTTTAGGCCTCATATTAATGTTTTATGACATCACACTGATTTTTGTCTCTGCAACTTTTTTTGGTAGAAAATATCATTTTTAGTTCAAAAATGCATAAAAACGTCGGAACTGGCTGAATATGTGAAAAATTTATCCATTTAGGCCAGAAAGGTTTAATTTGCCCCACCCCAAATACGTCTAAATATGCTAGTCTAGCTTTGCCACTGTGACGTCACAAATCTAACCTGACTATCTCTGAGTTTATTGAAGAAAATGATACGTTTGACAAACAGCTTTCATTCCCTATATGGCACACCTTCTACTAAGAGTTGCATCATTGACTAAATCTAAGACAAAGGCCCTGTGTCCCGAGGATTTTGACTGAAATTTGGCCATTTACGCCCAAATCTAACTAAATTGCAGTTTCCCTCACACCTGTATTTTGAAATAAATATTGCTACAATGTAGCAATTTAAAAATCACACATGCTTACTGTTTCTGTTGACCTAACACGTGTATCTAGCCTGTAAAAATGAAAAATCGCTACATTGTAGCAATTTCACTGAGATATGGGCCATGAAAATCATGTAATTTTAGCAAAAAATGAAGAAATAACCTGCAATTTTGACGGAATTTCAGAGGGCTTTCTTTCATTCATGACCCTCTACGGGCCTCTTAACGACCATTCTTATACTCACAGAAGGGTTGAAAGTTATTTCAAATCATTGTTTGCCCTACGCAGAACAAAAAAATCGATTCTGTTCTCAAATTCTGCTAGAATATTGGTCTCTGGCCAACTAGCAGACAATTTTAGGCCTCATATTAAGGTATGAGTACCGTAATCCAACGCCAAATTCGAAAATTCATAACAATACTTTGCACATATGGCGTTCGTGACCAATTATAAAACGCTTACCCCCCATAGTGTTATATATCAAAATATACCTGTTCATATAGGGGTTCGATTGATCTACATCAAATTATAGGGAGTCAGGTTACTTTTTGAGATATCAGCGTCCATTTATTGTGACTCGCGTTTGCTACCACTTCCTCAATTCTGATATGAGGGGCAAACGCGTAGTAAACATGCTCACGTCGGAACTATTTTTGACATACATCGCTATTTTCGTAATTCAAATGAGACTTGAACTCCTCCTCTTTATTTTGATACCAAATAGTGGCATACTACTGTAGCCGGTACCCTAGAAGCCAACTATGGCGTTATTTAGAACAAAGCCACACGTTTTTAAATGGACTTTTGGCGGATGGATATGGAACCTCATACCATAATAGCGGGTGGTTTGAATTTTTGTTTGAGTTTATAGCTCAGCATCTATAAATTGAGAGGCATGCAGATTTTGGCGATCTATCATAATAAAGGCTACATTTTGTGCAAAAACAGGAGTTGACACGCTTACCTTTGGAATTGAAATTTCCTACATAATTGTCGACTCATGTTTAAAAGTCATTAAAACAAAGTTGAGCACAAAACAATGACCTAGCTAGTTACTGTCTATTTAACATGGGATCATTAAGGGAAATATTATTAATGACTTAAATCGTCAACGGTTAAGTTGTATTCCAAGAAACTTATCAATTTAGAAATGCAAAATGTTCAATTTTGTTTTTCAATTATAAAAATGGCACCTGTAGAGAACAACGTTCACAAAATTATTTAAAACGGAGATATTTACTTATGTTACATTCGTTGGCATGTGTCAGGGAGTAAATAAGAAGAATGTGCATTTGATTAATATCTTGTTCCCAAAGGAGTTTGTTAAGGAGCGGTATATCTTAACGTACTTTTATCATCCCGAACTCAAATATTTTGGAATACTTATTTTGAGAACGCTTTGTTGAGAATGGATTCGAGATGTACTCAAAAATTAATACGTAAAAATGTGTATTATCATCTTAATAACCACCAAAGTGGCTTATGATGTTTTTTAACAAAGCCGCTCATATGTATGTATGTATTATTATTTGATTTATGGAATTAAAGTTATGATTAAAAAAAAATCATCTCACAAATTATTTTTGAAATCAAAGATGCACGATTTTTTAGATTTTTATTTTCGAATGTTGACTTAGTTACTCGACTTGACTGAGTACAGTATAATAGAATACAATTAATGATTAGGCATAGAAAACAAGCGTAGAATAAATAAAGATGTTCATTTTAGCAAAATAGATTAAACTATAATATAGACGAGGCAATGGAACAACAGAAATTTTACGACTGCATATTCCGATAGAAATTGAGCTGGATCAATTGATTACATATACATTTATGAGAGTACATAGGAAATAGAGATAATATTCACAGTAAAACGTATGTTTAGGAGTCCTCGAATACAGGGATGATGAACAAAAAGTATAAACTTACATCTCGTCTCAGTAAGAACCTCCGCACATCCCACGATAATTCATCAAAGATTGTTGAGGATTGATTCTTAAGGTCTTCATGGAAATTCACTCCTTTCATTAGGATAGTCAGTCCAGTCATTCTTAACTCACCACCTCCTACTGTAAAGACACCCCAGTACTAAACATGTGATGCAAAATGCAAAGTATTATTCAGATGGGGAAATTCTATAGAATTAAATACAAAATTCTATAGACAATATGGATCGAAGGTAGTAATGGCGTGTACTTCAGTATATAATGTACTGCAAACAACATCCTCAGTGGCATTTTTGGATACTGATCGTTATACCTGTAGGATTGTAGACAGGTAATATTTTGACAAGGGAGCGAGGATTGGATCTCCCAAGTCTCAATAAGGACAAACATCAATGGAATGGAAAATGTGTCCTGGGTAGTTTCAATCATTTCAGAACTTACTATTGATAGGAACCATGCTTGGTGGCGGGATGGTCGCAGCTGTAGATGTCATTGTATAACTTATGGTTGTAACTGGTGTATATCTTGTTGTTGTGTTCCATATTGTGTAAGGCAAAGTTGTAATAGGTGAACTGTGAGTTACACTTGGTGGCCTGGTAGTTGTTGTTGTACCTGGTGGCCTCGTGGTTGTCGTCGTCGGGGCTGCCGTTGTTGTCGTCGTCGGGGTTGCCGTTGTCGTCGTCGGGGCTGCCGTTGCTTTCGTAGTTGTTGTTGTCGTCGGGGCTGCCGTTGTCGTCGTTGGGGCTGCCGTTGTCGTCGTCGGTGCTGCTGTTGTTGTCGTCGGGGCTGCCGTTGTCGTCATTTGGGCTGCCGTTGTCGTCGTCGCTGCTGCTGTTGTTGTCGTCGGGGCTGCCGTTGTTGTAGTCGGGGCAGCCGTAGTTGTCGTTGGGGCTGCCGTTGTCGTCGTCGGCGCTGTCGTTGTTGTCGGGACTGCCGTTGTCGTCGGCGGCGCCGCCGTTGTTGTCGTCGGGGCTGCCGTTGCTGTCGTCGGGGCAGCCGTTGTTGTTGCGCCTACTGCTTTCGTGGTTGTTGTCGCGCCTGCTGCTTTCGTGGTTGTTGTTTCGCCTGCTGCTTTCGTTGTTGGGGCTGCTGTTGTCGTCGTCGGGTTTACCATTGTCGTCGTCGGGGATGCTGTTGTCGTCGTCGGGGCTACCGTTGTCGTCGTCGGGGCTGCCGTTGTTGTGGTCGAGACTGCCGTTATCGTCGTCGGGGCTGCCGTTATCGTCGTCGGGGCTGCCGTTGTCGTCGTCGGGGTTGCCGTTGTCGTCGTCGGGGTTGCCGTTGTCGTCGTCGGGTCTGCCGTTGTCGTCGTCGGGGCTGCCGTTGTCGTCGTCGGGACTGCCGTCGTCGTCGTCGGGGCTGCCGTTGTCGTCGTCAGGGCTGCCGTTGTTGTGGTCGGGACTGCCGTTGTCGTCGTCGGGTCTGCCGTTGTCGTCGTCGGGGCTGCCGTTGTCGTCGTCGGGACTGCCGTTGTCGTCGTCGGGGCTGCCGCTGTCGTCGTCAGGGCTGCCGTTGTTGTGGTCGGGACTACCGTTGTCGTCGTCGGGGTTGCCGATGTTGTGGTCGGGACTGCCGTTGACGTCGTCGAGGCTTCCGTTGTCGTCGTCGGGGCTGCCGTTGTTGTGGTCGGGGCTGCTTGCTTTGTTGTAGTCGGAGATGCCGTTGTCGTTGCCGTTGTGGTAGTCGGCGCCGCCGTCGAGGTAATTGTATCAGCCTCACCTGTTGTTGCACCAGGTGAAATTATATCAGCGTCAGGTGTCGTTGCACCAAGAGTAGTTATTTCAGCCCCAGCTGTCGTTGCATCAAGAGTTGTTGTCGTATAAGGGGTTGCCATTGCAGCTCCTGTATTTGCCATTGTTGAAGTCAACACAGCAAAGAGGCATAGCAACAGAACTGAAAATACCAGGCGTCCCAAAAAAGGTGAATCACTTTTTGACAAGCATTTCCTCAGCAAATGATCTATGATCATCCAAATTTATTAAAAATTTCTATTAAGTAGCCTACTGGTATCATTAGCAAATAGGAAAATAGGAAAGAGATCGATCACCTATTATGTGAGAATTGCCAATTTAAAAAATGCATGTCAAAAATCCAATATCGGTTCATGGTATTGATAATATTACATAGGAGGTGGCATCATTTGCAGACCCACACATACATAAGCAGAATATGGTTGTACAATATTAGTCCATGGTATGAAATTCCTAGGATGGCTAATTTATTTGACCTAATATTTTCATACATGTTCAGTATTGTTTTTTAATAGCCGTTCAATATTCTTTGGGCTTTTGGGCTGAATTGTGTGTGTCAATGGTCAAAAATATTAGTAAAAACGAAATTCCCCTTTTTATAATTTGGAGTACACACTGCTACAGAATATGATATGAAATAAATTTTGAGATATGCTTTAGGTTTCTCAACTATAAATTTGATGTTGTTTTCTTAGGAATGCAAAAAACTACATTATCAGCACATCAACATTTTGAATTCTGTTTTTTAATATTGGTAATGTAAATGGTATACCATTTACATTGATATCAATGAATCATTGTTAAATAAGACTGAAATATGCTAAAGTCACTGTAGTTTTTCGATTTCATTTTTACGTATTTTAAAAGAATCAAGACATATGGACCTCCTTAAATATTGGTTCAAATGTTGCCGCACTATATTGTGTTACGGATTCTTCATATTACGGAGTCATACCATGGACTTAAGACTTTAAGTGACATATAGTTTATGTTTATCTAAAGCCATTTCAGGAGACATGATCCAGATATAGATATATATGTGCAATTGCAGTTATTTATATTTTTCATCAGTTGACTATTCTAAAATTCATGTTTATCTCTATCCTCTATCCACTCCCCCTCCATCCAATATTAATTTATTTCGATTATTTTTTGTATAACGCATGGAAACTAACTTTAAAAAGTGAGCAATGTCATTAGTATTGTGATAATAACGTCCCTATTTATTACAGGTCGTGTAGACCATTGTTGCCTGATTTATAGCAAAAACATTGACTTTTAATTGCACGTTGGTGATGATGCGCCTTTTTAATAGATCTCATATCTTAGAAGGATATCAGTTCAAAAAATACTAGATGACATAACATATTTTGCCATGCACTGCGCCTATTCATTTGGCAATTCAGTTGTAAAAAATCAAAAAAAAATCTTCCCAATTTGTTGAGTTTTCTTGCAGAAATCGCCTAATCCCCCTCCATCCATTTTGTACGATCACCGGGCGTGAGATATGTACTCACCTCTGAGAAAGAAATTCTTTATTCCCATGCTGCAATTATATTTGACGTACCCCTTCTTCCTGAAATGCCCGGAAAAGCACACATTATTGAAACACATCAACTCATGATTGTCCTATGCAATTGATATGATAATCGTGTAAGACGATTTACTTAACTCAACAGAGTAATATACAATGTATGAGCTTTTGTATGGACGTTCTTTGCTATTTTTCAAACTTGATGGTCGGGACTTACTTGATTATCCAAAATGCGTTTCATCTTTTTCAACTGCTTTCTTTTTATTTCGTTAAATGTGAACACGAGTATACCTGTGTTATTTAAATGTCCGCTGTGTTCCAATAAATGAACTTTGTAATTCCATTCCAACAAAAAGTAATTACAATGTAATTAACACACTTACTACTTCAGATTTACTCATATCTCTGGGTAAAGACATGACAGATTGTTTTTCAATGTAATATAATGATTATAAACTATTTTGTTACTTATCTAGGCTCACTTTGTTTATATTATTCATATCACGTCGCTATAATATGTGAAGGTACTACTCGAAAAGAATATGTGACTATGTCGTTGGTCGTTCAATTTGTTTTTATCAATCTTTCAAAAATAATGAAATTGCATGTTGTACACAATATAGAATGCAAAATACATGTAGACAGTCAAGACTGATCCCTAAGTCCGGTAAAAAATATTCCTGCAATTTTTTTTATTTTTACATAATATACTAACAAGTAGGAAAAGCTAATTTTTGCTCTCAAGCTTTTATTTCTTGTCATTCATATTTTCAAGGAAGAACTTCCCTGAAACCATATATTGATATACAGGGTGGTCCAAAAATTGGAACATTACTTAAATGTATGTAAAAAATGTATTCCTCTCCTAAAATACACCAACATTTCACTGACCATAATTCATCCTAATGTACATTTGCCGTAAAGTTTATAAATGCAGCTTAGCATGTTAATAGGTTTTAACAAGCCAATGTTTGATATGACTCCTCTTCTCCTGAATTACAAGTTCAAGCATGAGACCCCATTTCGAAATAATTCGTTCGATTTGCAGTAAAAAAACTCAACTTGGTCACACTTCCGATATGTTTGGCTCGAAAGATCAAGTCTGGTTACGCAATAAACATATTCTGTAACAAAACTGATTGGTATCAAGCAAGGAGGATTGGCTCCCAGGATCGAAACTCGATATTTTCCAACAATGAAAACGTCGAAATGTCGTTATTTTCTGAAATTAAAACCGACTATAAATTCAAAATAAACAGTTCAAAAGATTCGAACCAATATCTCGATCATTTCTTGTGAGTTTTGGAATTTTTCGTTTGGAAATAAGACCAAAATTCCCGATTTAAATGTTGAAGTGAACAAAATGGCGGCTGTTTGAATTCGAATTTTGTATTACGACATACCCATATATGGGACAGAATATCGGTGGTGCACTCTGGGAGCCAATCCTCCTTGGTATCAAGCATAGTTTGATGTTTATTGCTGTGTGTAGTACCAGACACATATAAAAAGTAGAACTGACAGAATATTCTTCTCTGGAAAGAGGGCAGACTATTTAAACTGGTAAATGAAGGCCTCCTTTATGGTAACATATATTAATAATCACAATTTTCCCTTCAGTATCTTAGAGAAGTTTGTTCCTAGAACACCAATGATACCAATGATAAAAATAAAACCAATGATATCATACATAGCGGGGTCAGATGTCCTTTTTTTGTTCGGCTTTTTCAGGAAAGCAACAAACTTGCAGTTGTAGAATCATATGATCTGAGTGAAAAATGATTTCAGGGCAAGTGATTTGGGGTGGTCTTCATGGATTTTTTAGCCTCTGACCCCCCGCCCCTACCAGGCTGGGAGGGGTATTTAGTAAAATTAAATAAAAATGGTTTTAAAGTATTTTTCTTTAAATGACTTCATTTGGTGATTGCTTTGAGCCTTGAAATTGTGTAAAACCCAATTAAGAAGTTGTCTGTAGAAAAACTCATTTTAACCCAATTATCTAAGAATAATTCGTTGTTTAAAGGGCCAAATATGGGACATCCAGTACTGTATTTCGAGAATGTGATGCCTGATAGTCCTGAAAAAATTCATAGCAGTAGAGGTTTAAGTGTTTATCACAGATATAAAATATATCATGGATGGCTTAGGTATTTTTTGAGAAAAAAATTCTCGAAATTTCAATTTTTAAGTGCATGCGGCTCAGGGGTAACCTTATTTTTACCTTAATAATTTTTTAAATATGCAATGTATGCATCTCATATGAGGCCAAAATGATGCATAGAGCATTGTTTTGTCATATTATTCCTAATTAGATGTAAAAGAATTTTGGAAATTTTTCAAGAATCCAAATTTTCATTTTCGCTTCTAAAAGGCCAGGGGTAACCATATTTTACCTTAATAATTTTCAAGATATGTAATATATGCATGTCAAATTAGCTCAAAATGGTGCATATAGCTTTGTTTTATCAGATTACCCTTGATTGGATGTAGAAAAATGATTTGACATTTCTTAAAAATCTAAATTTTCATTTTAGCTTATTGTGGCCCATGGGTAGCCATATTTTACCTTAATAATTTTCAAAGTACGAGACGTATAGATCTAAAATGAGCTTTAAAGGTTTTTTTATTATCTTCTTTTGTCATATGTTATTCCTAAGGAATGTAAAAAATGTTTGGAAATTTGAAAAATGACATTTTCATATTAGGCTATAAGAATTAGATTCTCTGTTTTGCGTCCTGGCAAAATCCAAATCATACAAGGGTACAAGGAACACAAACACAAGCTCAAGAAAAAACACAAACTTGTTTGCTGAAAAATGTATACATTTTATGGGCATTAAAAGGGATGACATACCAATTTGCAGTGATACAAACACAGATCTATAGATTTATACAATAAATATAGGTGTTATTCAAGGGTAAAAATATGAAAATACACAATGTTTGCCAAAGTTATCAATAACACTGTCAATTTTGACGCACATCAATTTATCCGCCATTTCGTCTGATTCTGATTGAACAAAATGCGATGTTACTTTTAGACCCTTGTGGTTGCTTTTTGGATGTGTTTGTTTTTCTCTGATTTACTCAAAATCATGCAAGCAAGGGGACGCAAAACAAAAAGAATCTAATTCTAACGGCCTTAGTTTTTGATGCCATTTTACCGTAATAATTTAAATAAAAATATATCACACTTGTTACTCAAACGAGCTTAAAATGTTGAATATAG